ACTGCAATGGAAGCCAACATACATAGTCCCATTTATAATGATCAAAACTAAATCTTTATAGCCAAGAATTATATTTTCAAAAACGCAGCTTCAAATCCTTATTCAGCTTTTACAAGTAAATTAATCAACAATTATGTAAAATTTAGCATTAAGAAAAGTCTCAAAATGAAATTATCCAGTGTTTCAAGAACGATATATTGTTGAAAGAATATCGAGTAATTACCGGCCGACCGCCTCAATTTTGTACATTTATATGTATCTATATATCTGCAAGAGTATCACAACGACCAAAAGAATCGACGAAAACATCATCACTCAATTACAGCGTACAGGTTCAGTTTTCCATTAATTTCATCAGCTCATGGTTGCAATTTAGGACATAAACTGGAATTAGGATTCGCTACGGGGCCTGCAAAATATCACAAGATTTAGAAAAAAATAAAAAATGCATACATATGACAATGAAAATGAAGAGACATACAAAAAACAGGGAGACAAGGTTGTTTGGATGCAGGGTCATCCTCAAACCGCACCGGAACTTGTCCGTACGCCATTTCACAACTCATATCTTCAAAATCTGGAAATAACAAAAAAAAAAAAAAAAAAAAAAACCTTAATGACCGAGAAAAGACTGAATGCATGCATTAATCGAGTTTAATTAATTTAATTGACATACTTGGGGTCATGGTTAATGGAAGGCCAAACTCATTGGTGAAAAAATCTTGTGTTGGTATTTTGCACATGTTGACACACATTCCTACACAGCCACTGTTTTCCAGATACCTATATGATCATCGAACGCGGAAAAAAAAAACAATTAGCATTTAGAAATAGTAAATTAGAAGCTAAGAAGAAACGAAAATAAGTACATATGTGTGCCTTTCATATATATGTACATAGAATTTTTTTGTGATAAAGTATGTATATATATATACCTGCATTTCTTTATAAGAACCCCGCTTCGTTGCTTCACTCCGTTTACTTCAATCTCCACAACCTACTGAATGCTCATATTTCAGGTATAGACCACACACCACAAGTAAAAAAAAAAAAAAAAAACTCATATAGAACTTCGTAATTACTACACAGCAATAAATAATCCGTTTAGTGACAAAACCTTGTATCATATAAATCTATCGGGCAACTAAAACATTAAGGTTCGTATGTTGAGTGTAACAAGAGTTAAGTTTAAGGTAGGATTTCTAACCTTCGAAGAGTTTGGCAAAATTACAATATAAACACATGGTTATTAACTACTTTCTTTGTTTCGAAATAAGTGACGTGCATTTGCATAAATATTATTAAGAAAATTAAAGTAAATAAACGTGGCTAAATTCTACTCCCTCTGTTCCATATATAATATCTCTCACTTTTAAGAATTTTTTTCTTACATATATTTATCTGTTAAACCCTCTATAAATTAATACAGTCGAGACTAGCAAAATACTATTAATTATTTAGCAAATTATTAAATTATGGAACTAATAATTTAGTACGTTTTTACTGAGTTGGGACCAAAAGAAAGTATTATTTAAGCGAAATTATTAATTTATCGAGGTTCTACTGTATCTCTAAAACGACAAATAATTGAAGATCATGTTAATAAATACCAAAATGTTTAGTTACAAGTAAAAGATAGTGAAATTATAAGTAGAGAGTATGAAAATAAATGTACCTCAGAAGGGCCAACTAACCAGTGGAAGAAAGGTACTGTTAGTGCCGCATTGAACTCTGCTGCCCACCTTGTCGGTGGAAACAATTTTCTGAACTGCACAACAAAACACATCTTATATCAGATACTCTTCCACTTCTGAATATATGTCTATATTTTTATTTTTTTTGGGACTAGATTGCAAAGCATTCAAAAAAAAAAAAAAAACTAGATTACAAAGATAATATTTGTACAACAACAGTAACTTTACCTAATTAACCAATAAGCTGGTTTGCCCGAGAGGTTAAGGGGGAAGACTTAAGATCTTCTGCACATAAGTGCGCATGGGTTCGAACCCCATAGCCAGCATTAAGAATAAAATTATTTATTATAATTTTCTTTTTCTTTATTTTTCCCTTCATTTTCGTTATAAAATTTAAATAACAAATTACTATCACCCCTGAAGCAGTTCCAAATTACGAAAAACCCCATTATATCTAGATAATTACAATCACTTCCTTCAACTATGTATTGTCTTACAAAAACCCCCTTCATTCAGTAGGTAAATTTAAACGTAAGGGTCAACGTCTTCGACAATACATAGTTGAATTATCCAAATATGATGGAAATTATTTTTCGTAGTTTTGACCATATAAAATAATTAATATTTACTTCCTTAATTATAATCAACGAGACTTATTAAGAGTTGCATTATTTAATTTTTAATAGGAACCCATAACCCCTAACTCTAATTATAATCAGCGCGCGACTTATTAAGAGTTGCATGATTTAATTTATTACCTGAGCAGGGGCACCAGGAGGAAGCATGGAGATAAGAACTTCACGCACAACTTGCTGCTGCTGCAAACGAGTCCTTCCTTGCATGACTCTCTTAGACACTTCAACAAACGCCTCGTAATCATAATCCAACCATCCCTTCTTCTTCCCAACATCTTCTCCTCCGCCTCTCGCGAATTTCTCCATCTTCCTGGCGAAAAGTGTCATGAACGCCTTCTCGAATATCCCGTCCTTGTACTTCGTCTTCTGCCCCATCGGCGCCGGCACTCCCGACTCCTCCGCTATCCCACATCGGACACCGCCGCCGCCGATGCCGACGCTGCTGCTGCTGTTCTGATAGTAATTTCTCTGGGCGGCGGCGATGCTGCTGCCTGCTGTGTGGAAGTTGATTGCTTGGAAGCTTAGAACCACCATTATTAATTAGTATGAATTATTATGAAATAATAGGGGATTTGATTGTATGGCAGATTGTTTTTTGGGGTGCATTTTGAAATAGGCGTGCGTGTGGTGGGTGTTTGTGTTTCCTTTTTGGTTTTTCTTATCGGAACGAAAGAATGGTGACCACGCGCGTGCCCCATCGTCACTAAGGAAGCTTATTAGCCTCTAATTACAGTCTCATTTTTTTTTGGGAAATTTACAGTTTTCACCCCTTCAGTTTTTTTCAATTTCACATTTAGTCCCCCATATTCAAGAAAAAAATACATTTGATCCATCATGTTTCAATAATTTGACATTTTTTGTCATTTCCATCAATTTAATCGTAATTTTCTAAGCTACGGTAGTGATGGAAACACGCTTGGTTCCGTTAGTTTTAACAGAATATTGACGGAAATGACTAAACGTATTGAATTTTTGAAACGTGAGCGACAAAATGTATTTTTTTATGAACATGGGGACCAAATGTGAAATTGAACAAAACTTGAGCTGAAAACTGTATTTTTCTATTAATACTATTTTTTCTTATGAATATCCTTAAACCGGTTCTGTACATAATGACGCACACTCATGTGCATGTGTGTTAGTGGATAGTTATCACCCTAAACTTGTGATTAATCATTTGACAAAAGGAATTACTGGATATATTTACACTATTAATAAAAGCATGTGTATAAGTGAAACAAATGTTCAAACTTTTTTAAATTTTTATCTAGCTTTAAAAATGATATATTTATAATCTACCATGAATTAATAACACCACATATCCATAATTATATACCTCCCGTAATATTTCTCCAATAATCCGAAAACTGATCTAGAAAATTGTAAGCTATGCATAGGCCACGTCTCCTTTAAAATGCATCACTCATGCACAACACCTGTAGTTACAATGACAATCTGTTTTCAATTGATTTTAAAAAAAAAATACCTAAAAAGAAAACATACTTCGAGTCCAGTAGGAAATCGAGAATGAAAAAATCTTCGATAAAAGATTTCAAAAATCGTAATGACAAAAAACTCGAACAAAATGAAAAGCATTCTAAAAGGACTCGATACGATTCACACATTCCATTTTGTTATCTACCGATTCTAGACAATAATATTAATTATTATAAATATATACTTCTAGAAGAAATGGATTTAAAATTATTTTAAAAAAAATCAAATTTAATCCAGATATATAGTGGAAGGAAAAAAAAATCCGAAGTTTGAAATTTTCCGACGGAGGAATCCAGAATTTTAGGACCGAAAAAGGCGAAACAGAGTACAGTGAAAATAAATCAAAAGTATTAACCAAAAAGCTATGCAGAACAAACTCAAACTAAAAGCATTCCGAGTTACTGCATATTCACGATTTATTTCATATTTCCCAGCATCACAAACGAACTTAGGTTAATAACCACACATGCTTCCCATATCTTACCGTGGCTGTTCGAACGCAGTAGTCAGTACTGATTAAAGCCGTTTGACGAAACTAAAGCCTAAAAACAGACAAAAAGAAAAGAATTACAACATCTCACAAAGACAAAAAAACGTAAAGCCCAGCATTTCTATTCAGCAGCTTCCACTTGCTTCGGTGCCTCAGCTTCGTTCTTCAACTTCTCCAATGCCGACACACGTCCTTCCAGAGACTCGTAGAGGCTATTAACCTATATTATTCATAAATTAAAAAAAAAAAAAAAAAAAAAAGGGAAACCGTGTTAATAATGGGATCATCTCAAATCATTATTCCAACTATTAAATAGCTATCGCATTTTTAAGACCTCAAATCGGCTGTGACGAATCGTACTTGTTCTACAGTTTCACGAAATTCAATAAATATAAGGACTTAAATGGAACTTGACAGCATAAGAATGTCATAAAACATGCCTTCAGTCTATAGACAGATTTATGGAACCAACTACGTTTGGTTAGTTTTTATTCGTTTAGAGAAATGAATGTGTTTTGAGAGAATGAATTCAGTAATGTTTGTTTGTATTTCTATACGGGACAATTCGTAATCCAGCTGTCGAGTGTGAGTAAGGAAAAGATGATATAACAAATTTTCAGATCGTATACTCGGTACCTAATAGGTGCAAACTAAAGTGAAGGACTCTAAATACCTTATGATACATCGGAAATTGTTACTAGTGATTTTACCTAACGAGCAAATAAGAAATACGAGACGTAATAAAACACAAAGATAGGAAGAAAACTAATTCAATACACCGAGAGAAAACTGAAAAAAAAAATTGATACGACATTCGGTGAAAACAAATTTGCAGGCAAAACCGCTCTTGATCTATTAACCTATTGCAGCTCTTCAGAGAGATGCAACTTTGGTCGATTAATACAGAATTTCGATGTACGGTTAATTATTTATTGCCTGAATGTGATGCAAAATCATACCAATCAAATATAATTCAGTGTACTGTAAAACACTGTTGGTAATCCATCTTCCACAGATTTAGCTGAATATGTTAATATCTTTTTATCTTAAATTCTGTACCCTGTATCAATATCTTCAACAATTTTTTTTTTTTTTTCATTCATTTGATAATGCCGATCAATTATCTAATACAGATTCAAAACCAATTTTACGATAAATTTCAGACTGGGTAATTTACATACAACTTCAAACTCACCAACAATTTTCATTTCTAAGCATTAATCCAGTTAAAAAAAAAACAAAATCGAAATTCCTTTCAGAAAAAAATACCTGTTGAGAGATAGCGTGGTGGGCAGTCTTGTAATCCTTCTGGAGAAAATAGAGACCGCCGGCGGATGCTACGGCGGCGCCGGTGAAGAACGACGCCAATCTTACTCGCAGCACGTAACCCATAGCTCTTCCACCCTTCGATTTCAGAAAAAACACAAAACCCTAAATCAGTCGATTTGATCAATTTTCGCCCTTCCTTCTCGATTTGTTTCTTTTGGGGAAGAAAGAAAAGTTTCGATTTGCAAAGGAAGAAGTGAGACGTTTGGGCCTCAGTGAGGCCCGTCAGTTCTTCAGTGGGCCTGTATTCAGTTTACGGGCTTTAATTTCAATTTTGTAAATAATATTTAAATTATTAATATTATTAAATTACAAATTTTAAATATTTTTAATTAATTAAATTAGTCTAAGGACTTTAATGGATCTATCCATTTGGGATATGGTAATGCATTTCACTACTTGATATTTTTCTATAGTATCTTAAGGCCCTAGAGACCATTTGTTTTTATTTTCGGAGTATGAAAAGCTGTCAATACTCACCACGAGCGGAGGCCATCGCAGTATCTTACGGCTCGACTCCTAATTTTGGCTGACATATCTATTTTATTAAAAAAACATCAAAAGTATTTCATATTTACCGAATAACCTATTTTGTTTACAGAATTAAACTTCTACAACATTTGTAATTTTTTTTTTAATCCAAGTGTCTACAAGTGTTTAATAAAGGGTATAAACGAGTCGAACTTGACCTCATCTTGGTAGATTTTTCGAGCTCAAGCGAGTTTGTCGAATTCGAGTTCGATCTAAGCTCATTTTTTTTTTCCTTTAGTTGATTTTAATTTTATTTTTTATTTTAGATAATTAATTTCTTTTTATAAATTACTTGGGTTAAAATAAAAAAATTATAGAATAATAAATGAAATGATTTTATTTTTTTTAATTTGTATGTGGACTTATTATTATTATATATTATTTATATTTATAATAAAAATAAAAGTTAATAAGTTCATGAACCGGCTAGCGGACTCATGGAAACTAATGACCGGCTCGTGAACTCGAGTTCGAGCATTTGTCGATAGGCGGAGCGGGCACATTTACACGACTTATGATGGTTGACAGAGGACGTATTTTTTTTAATTTTCTTTTTCCTATTATCATAACGCGGTATGTATTTATGGAAGAATCCCAAGAAGAAAATATAAAAGTAATTCTACAAGTGAGGGGCAGTTGACTTTATGTGACCAATATTTCTATGTTGGCCGTTTGACTTTTGAAGTACTCATTATCATTATCATTTATCGAACTACCAGCTACCTCCTCCCTCCTGCAACATTCTTTATTATTTTGGCCCTCGAGAATAAGGGGAATAAAAAAGTCAACCACTTGTGCAATGCTATACAATGTACTACGTCTATATGTAATCAATTATTTTTAAAAATTAAAATTGGATCAAAAATTAAAAAAAAAATCATATACATCTCAATTACGGACCAAAAAAATCGAAAAAATAAAAAAAAATTCAGAACTTACAGAATTTGGAGTGAAATATAATTTTTCCAATTGAATGAAATCGAAAAAATACGGAAATTTCTTTTGATTCCAATTTAATGGATTGAGGATTTATCCACCACCGCCTGATATCAAACTCCTTAATATTTTATTTTCACAAGGTTTAATTAATATACATGTATAATTTTGAGCTTTGTGCACATGACCATAGATGTATTTTACTAGGTAAATAATTAGGTTTATTAAGGAAATAAATTTTTTGAAAGTACAAGAGAATTATGGTAATTATGGTAAAATACAAGGAGAACATGTGCTATATTGAAAATATAAGGGGTGATATTCACAAAGTTCAAATCACTGGGGAGATAAGTGTCATTTACCCTAAAAGTTATGCTTCTCCTTAGAGATTGGCAGCTAGGGAAGCATTAATGGCTAATATGCCGACAACTGATAACGCTCTTGTTATTTTCTTTTTTTTGCTACAATGTAATGAGTTGTTCCCAGTGTATATTAGTTTAATTCTACTTTGTACCCTTAAAATTAGCATTTTGGCACTTTAAATCATTGAAAAGAACTAATAGCACTTTGCACCCTCAAAATACAATAAATCATTCACAATGCACCCTGAATTGAATATTTAAAACTTAATGGGGGTAATTTTATTTCTTTTCGGTTTTTTATTTCTATGGTGTAAAATAACAAATTAAGTTGTTATTTTTTTCTAATTCCAACATGCGGGAAAAAATTAAATTTTCTTACTAAACAAATAAAATTTTCAAACTAAATTATTCGATTGATGAATCTTTTATTGTAATAGTGAAAATAATTTGTATATATCTTTAAAAAATATATAATTTTCAAATAACAAAATATTGATAACAAAATAGTTGAAGGATTATTTTTGTTCTTTTCGTTTTTATAGAATATTTTTGTGATTTTTTTAAATATGTAGATTAGAAATATTTTTATTTTTTTCAGAGTTTCAAAAGGATTAATAAATATAAAAAATAATCTGACATTTAGCATTTAAAAAATACCTCTAAAATATCAAATTGCATTCATTAGTTTTAAAAATTCATTCAGGATGTAATATGCATGATTTATTGTGTTTAGAGAGTGCAAAGTGCTATTAATTTTTTCGAGGAATGCAAAGTGTCAAAAAACTATATTTCAAGGGTGCAAAGTGGAATTAAGCCAATATATATTTTTATTTAATTATCATTATATTATTTTGTGATTTATTTATGCACCTATAAAGTGGAGCAATTAACCCACAACACACACCAACCATATCATCTCTTTCTTGGAGAGGGACAGATTGACCAATCAAATACCTCATCTTTTCTGTAAAGTCGATTTTTTCTTTAATTTAATGTGTAATAGTGTCGTAACATATGAAGTTTTTTCATATTATGTACTCCTCGAATTTAATATAATGCAATATTTATATTTTAAAGTAATATATAATACAGACAACTTTTTTTTTTCTTTTTCCCTAATGTATGAAGTATAAATTAAAATTACAGGGTCTAATTTGTTTCTATTTTTTGAAAATTGTTCCTAACGAGGATTTGCTTGTGAAGTAGAATAGATCTCAAGTGGGCCGGGTTTTTTTTTAAAAGAATTTTTACCTACCTTCCAAAAGTTTAATAATCCTCAATTAGATATATTATATGAAGGGAAAATTAGTAAAAAAAATCTCTCATTTTAAAATTGGATTGAGATAGGTCGATCATTTGGAAATAATTAGTAAAAAATCCATTCTTGTGTTTTTTCGCGAAATTATAGTTTACCTCGTGTTTTTTTTTATTGAAATTATGGATTAAACTGAACATAGATCGATTACGTTGTTTAGTTGATTACGTAAACTGTCACATAACAATACTAAAAATCGATGGCAGAAAAACTGGAGTGTACAGAACGGACGGGAGAAGTTGTACCACGCGATATGTTGGTCGGGTCTTAGAGGAGGAGGTCACCAGTATATGAGAGGAGGGTTGTTTCAATTACGTCGGTGGAGGAGTTTGATGTCCAGACGATGGTGTCTCGGCGGCGGTGGAGGTGTTTGATATGTCCAGAATCCTCGACGGCGGTGGATATTTTTTATGTACAGACTATGGCGCCTCAGTCCTAATGAAGGTATTTGATGTCCAGACAGCGGTGCCTTGTCAGCGGTCGTTGGTGAAGAGGAGGTAATTCGAATCTAGGGTGAAGAGGAGTGAGTAGGACGTTTGTCTAATAAAAAAAAGGGTTAAATACAAAAACACCCCTGTACTATGGACTTTGTATCATTTACCCCATGTACAACACATAAATACAAAAACCCCCCTGCTATTATATATATTTTCAAAATTTGACGAAAATACCCCTGCTAAACCTATAAATATAAGGATTTGTTTGAGCCATTTTACACAATATTTTTTAACATTTTCGGTCAATTTTACTTGGAAATTTTTTATTTTTTTATTTTTTCCGTCAAAACATTTAATTACTTAGATTTTTTTTTTCTGAATAAAAACCTTTTATTTTTGTCATTTTCAATTTCTTCATTTTTTTCTTAAATGTCTTCCGGTAGTTCAAATTCTCAACAATAATAGGATTGTAAAGATGATTGTAATCTTTGTTTGAACTAGCGGAAGACATTTAAGAAAAAAAAAAATGAAGAAACTCAAAATGACAAAAATAAAAGGTTTTATTTAGAAAATAAAAAAAATGTAAGCAATTAGATGTTTTGGAGAAAAAAGTATAAAT